ACCGACTGAATATAGGCACGCATGGGGGTTGTTCAGCTTGGAACAGCCTGTAATGCAGGAGGAGCACTGGGTTTTTAGCCTTTACTATTACAGGTCAGGTAAATTAATTACCTCGTTGCTTTCAACAGTTGCATTCCATAATTCTTGGCTTGGAGTGGTACTGAATAGATTCAGCTGATACGTGGATTTACTTTTGAAGAAGCCCATGCTATTTGGGTGTTTTTTTAATGTCCTTAGAGGAGGACTCAGGAAACTTATTTTAAACGTGTTCTAGCCTGGTCTTCTGCCTTAAGTGCTCTCCTAATTGTGGGAAACCCGAATCAGTGTCATCATCCATAATAAACAAATACTTGTATATAGTATATTTGTATCGTTGATACAAATATATCAACGATATATTTGTCGTTGTGCAACTTGTAAAAAGGTTTCTTTGACACCTACCTGCACTCTTCTACAAAACCTTTTGCCTAGGACTAATGTTGGCTAGAGAAATATTCGTCAAGTCTCTATTTCAACAATCACCTTACACCGCCCCAAATACTATGCCCTTTGGGGAGGTAATGTGCCTGCCTTTTGAATACGTAATTGTTTCAGCTTAACTGAAGTGACAGATAAAGTAGTAGGTTCTGGTTCCAGTCTTCCATACTAAATACTTGACTGGGAGGAGAAGTCCTAAATTCAAAGTGACAGGCTACCTTCAACTGAATTGATTAGTTTTTGCATTTTTGAATGAAATGAGACTACTCATTCCAAATATTCTGGGGTGAGTATTTCTCCTTGGCAAACGGGGAGGTGTGGGAACATGATATGCTTCATTTCCTACGAAAATACACTTTGTAGAAGTATGATTCCCCCTCTGTGCTAACCCCCAACCTAAAGGCAGAACAGTACTGCAATTGCAATTTACAGTAAATCAAATCCCTCTAATGTGCGTTAGTCATGTTCCAAGAATACTGTTGGATATGGCTTGGGGAAACAGCCTGATTTTTTTAACTTGAACTGGGGCGGTTCTAAGGAAATGCAGTAGTGCAGCCTTGATAACCTGGGGAACCTGGTGAAAACCTGTTAAAATTATGTACTTCCAGCGTAACGGCCAGCACATGAGACTGGGACAAGTTGCGTTGTTCTGTGCTGAAAGCAAATGCATTTGTAATCCTAGAGGTAATACATGAGGGAAAAAACCCCCGTTCATTCACTTTCTCAAAACACGCAGTACCATTTCTGAAGTGCATTATTCCTAGAGTAAATCTGAATCTCTCACTGTACCTGTCACAGAAGTTGGAAGGGTGTTTGACTTTTTTAGCTGCTCCCTTCTTTCTAGTCTTGACACAGCAGTCTCAATTTTCTTTTCCCCTTCTTGAGGTGTAGATTTCTGCAGTGTGCTTGTTTTGCTGCTGCTGCTTTTATTATCTGACTGATTACTTACAGCAGCCTAGAAGAGAGAAGGAAAACTGCTAAATGAGAAATAGTCTGTCATGTAGTGGCTACAAGTAAGAGATGTCACACTTCATGCTTTCATTCATCACCTGTCCTTTCCTTAACCTTCCTTCTCGGCAAAAACTCAAAACACTCTGATACTTCTAAAACTAGTAGTTATTAAAGACTGAAAAAAAAAAAAAAACAAAACACAAAGAAATTTGTCATGTTGTCTTTTCAGTCAAAATATTGAACAGTTTGAGCCAGCCCTACCTGTTAAATACAGCACTGAAACACAGCGTGCATCTGTGGGCAACCTCACACCCACTGCTGTTTTCTTCCGCCAATTATCTATGTCTGTAATTATGCACGTGTCCGTCAGAAATTTCGGTCTCATAACAAACATCAAAATATACTTAGTTATCCACATAATCTCCTTTTTCACCACCTGTAGTATCTATATACAGCATCACTGCTTGTGTAGCATCACTTCTGTACTGTAAGTAGAAGTCTTTTTCGTACTAATAGAAAACCATGGATAGTAAATAGCTGTTTAAAGAACAGGAAAGAGGTGATACTTGAATTCAGTGCCTGCTTTAGGCAGTTGGATGTTTCACATGACGGTTCATTTCTTTCATTTGTCTACAATTTATCCAAGTAATACATGTTACGATAAAAATAAATTCAAACTTACTAGTATTCACCTATATTCACCTATAAATGAGTATTCCAGCTGTTATTCCCCAAGCATTAAGGCTTAACATTTTATTTACTCAAGCTTTGAAAGAACCATGTTGCATACAATTTTTCTGTTCCATCACCTGTGCAGTGGTCGTGCTTATGATTGCCATTAACCACATCCTGATATTAAGGCATCGGAGTTTACCCTAAAATTGTCACAATACTGCACAGTATTTTCTCCTGGAGGTCTCAGTTTTGCAAAAGGGAACTCCAGACTTTCAGACTACTTTTTACTCACTGTCATTTTAGCTTTTATGAAATATTACAAACCAAACATATTAAAAAAAAAAATCCCTTTCACATAATAAAACTAGCTAACAGTTGTAATTATGGTATCAGTATTTCTGATGGGCAGGTTTCTGAAGATTGTTTACATTTTCTTTAGCCAGCTTCTCTGCTTGCTTCGCCTCTCTGGCTTGTCTCCTCTCCTCCCTCGTAGCTTGCTGTTCACGAAATCCCTTTTGCTTTTGCAGTGCTAATGTAATCCAAAGTGGTTGTGAAGTTTCAACTTTTTCCATCAATTTAGAGCCATCTAAAGAGTGCCTGCTCTGGAGGACAGGTTTTTCTGAAAGAAAACATGAAAAGAATTGGTTAAGTAAGTAATGGACATCTCCTGTCTCAAGCAAACCATTACACCCTCTCCACCTTGCGAACACTCCGGAGCTAAGCCCATTGAATGCCATGCCATTCACAGACCTTCGTGGGCTGTATGTCAAACCCTGAAACAGTTTTTATGCCTCAAGAATAAGACGTAATTCAATACACTCATACAGCTGTCCAAATTTATCCTTTTTTGTGAAAAAGCCTACCCTGGACTCTTAGAGCTATAGCCTAATTTACTACACATTTAAGTGAAAGTGATACATATACATTGATTGTTTACACCTCTGATGGAAGGGATCCAGCCACTACGTACTGCAGTTCCCTGATTTTCCAGCCGTAGTTAAGAAGTCCAAACTTCAGCCAAATAAAGGGCACTGAAACGATGTACTCCTATAAATGCAGCCCCTCTTAAAAAATGGTTTGTTTCTTTTTTTAAATCGTCACTTGAGCATCTGACTTTCTGTACCCTGCATGAAATTGGGGCTAGCACCGAGTATAGAGCTCTGAGCGGCAGGGAGCAGCACTGGGGTGCAAAGTTTCTGTGCTCCCGCAGAGCTCAGTGAGCACAGAAACCCTCAACTGGCCCGGCTCTCCCAGGCCGACAGCTGTGCCTCCAACTAGTTTCCATAAACCCTCATTTAAAAATGGAATTGAAAGGAAAAAGTGTAAAAAAAATGAAAAAATAAGCAGCAGCAATTCCACTGAGATACGGTTTTAGAAATGTCTCGATGCTTGCAAAATTCAAGAATGGAAAAAAAATGGGATTTCCCAATTAAATGCTGAATTCCTGCCTTGCTCTTTTGAGTGTCCTTATGCGGAAGGGTAATTTTTCCTCTGGTACAGAATACTATTTCAGGACACAGGGGCTTTCAACCCTCCTCTGAAGAGCTCACTATGGCTACTGTAATTGTTTCTATTACTGAAGAGTGCCCCTGAAATGCAGACTCCTATGCCCAGCTATATCGGGTTAGACAGAGAATTTGCCCAGGATAGGCACTATAAGGGGACCTAGATCTTAATATTTTTTCAGCTAGATAATATTCCCCTCAAGAATAGAAACAACATAATGTAAATTATAAAAATGACTCCCTCTGGTCTGATGACACCATTACACATGGAACAGACAGTCCATCCTCCGACTACCTAGGTAACATCTCTACCAAGGAAAACTCACACACACTTCAGTTACATCCTTGAAATTAACTTTCTTAAGCAGGTCACACTGGTCACGCTGAGTTTGTGTGTTTCTGAATTAAATTGTGGGGATGGGAAGTCCCATTCATTCAGACAACCCTAAGGAAAGTAGTGGTACGCCACAAATAACATCAGGTAAAAATTCTAGCTTAAGGCCAAATGTCTTCCTCTGGACCTCCAGTATCTCATTTTGGAAATGCAGACAGTAGCTAAACGACCTTTGAAAAATACTTACCTTTCTTCAAGGGCTCAGGCTTTTTGTCGGTTTTTTCTCTCCATGGAATACTTATAGATGGGAAAAATGACTTCTTTTCTCTGATTTCTTCCTCTTCATTTTTGTACTCATTGGATGGTGTGGGGTGCACTGCATTTGCTCTGTCTTCTTTTCTCCAGCCACCCTCCGATTCAGCTTTAACCAGCCTTTGCCCTAGCATATCAGCTAGGTTTGATCTGTTCATTTTAGAGAGAGGAGACGATGGTGGTGTCTGGCTGGTGGGCTTTGGAGCTAAAGCAGGTTTCTGTGGGACCAGTGACTTGCACGCTGGTTTCTCATGAGGGGGTAAAGCACTCTGACCAGTGGCTGGTAGGACCACTGGTGTGCCTGCTGGCTGTGAAATCACCACAGTAACTGAAGAGTCTTTTGAGTCTTTTAAAATACCAGGGACGTTCGCTCTCCCCATGCCAGGGGATGTACTCTCTGGTGGAGCAAAACCAGAGGATTCTTTCTCACCTTCTGTTGTAACTAGTGGGTCAGGCACACCATCAAAACTATCTCCGGCACTGTATCTTTTCTTTTTCCTTTGCTCTGCCTGTTGATCATAATGGAAACGTAAAGAGTAGTTTGTCCTTCGTAACTTTATCCCAAAAGGAGAAATATTTTCTTCTCCATTTGGTGCTGGTTTATCTGCTTTTTTTGTGCTGTTATTCTGCTGATTTTCCAGAGCACCAGGAAGTTCTGCCTGGGCTAATTCTTTACCCGGAGAATGAGGAAAACTTGGAACAAGGAAAGATGGAAGATCTTTTGCAAATTTACAGCCTTCTGTGTTGTCTGTCATTTCACTATGGGTTTCCATTTTCTCCTTAGCCTTTTCAGCTAAGTTATCCTTAAAAGTGGAAGCCACATCCTCCTTCAAATCAGAGGATGAGCTAGTGATTCTTCCCACAGCCACTGTTTCATTGCCTGTTGCCGCACTTACATTCTCAGCATCTGAACTGTTTTTTGAAGCTTCTGAAAATTTCTGCCATGCTGGTGTTATCGAGAACTTTGCATTTGCAGAGAGGGTTTTCCTCAAGTTACCATGGGGAGCACCCCGTCCTCGGGGTGTCCAGTCATCACTGTGTCTGCAGACACTTACTCGGTCTCTCTCGTTATATTTGCTGTTTTCTGCGTTCTTTAGGATCCTGGAGCGGATAGAAGCCCACTCAGCTAGTACGGCCTGGTTGTTCAATGTCTCTTGTGCATATTTCATTTTACTGCTGCTGGGTTTGGGATCCTGGGTTCTCTTCTGGGCCTTCTCTGGTGAAGGAATATCCACATTTTTTCTCTCTTCTGTTAGGCCAAGTAATGATTTACAAGCTGTGTCCTTTATCTGGTTCAAGTTAACTGCTGTGCCACACAGCTGTGCTCCAGTAACCAAAATAGCTGTATGGGGTACACACACAGATGACGGGAGTGTATGAGAGCCCTTGCTGGAAGCGTGCATCCTGCAGTCCTTGATGGATGGAGAAGAGAGTCCTGCTCCTTTGATGGGCATGACTGGACTCAGATTTACTTTCTGAAATATGATCTGTTTATCTCCAGAAGACACTTGAAATGTGAAGGGTCTGGATGCAGTTTGTCTTTCATCTACCTCTTGCCACCTAAGTTCTTCCCCTATTCGCTTTTGTTCCTGAGCCTCAACTTCTCTCTTCAGTTTCTGGGCTAGGATTTCTTCTGCTGTTTTATTCTCTTTTTCTGGCTGTTTGAGTTTTTGGGATCTTGATCCTTCTTGGAGCTTCTCCTCTACCACATGCCTATCAGCCCCTCCAGAACACAACTGATCCTTGTCCTGTTGCTGTTCCAAGGATTTTTTTTCTTGGTTTTGCTGAAGATTTTGTCCTTCTGTGTCTACCTTCTGCTCTTCCAGCTTGTTCCATTCTCGCTCATTTTGTTCCTTTTGCTGCTTCAGTTCATCTTGTTGCACACCCTCTGCACTTTCCATGTGCATTTGTTTCGTGAGCTTGTGTTTTCTCTGCTCTTCCCGTTTCTTTTTCTTATCCATTACTTGCTGGGGTTGTTCCTTCTCTGTCTTTTCTCCTTTCTCCTTCAAATACTGCCTTTGTTCCTCCTGTTTCTTCTGTTGTTTGAGGCTCTCAGCTTCCTTCTCCTCCTTCAGTTTTATTTCAGCTTCTTGAAGCTCTTCTAGCTCTCGTCTCTGTTTTTCTTCCTTATTTTGTTCCTTGTCTTTTTGTTCCTCCAGCCAATTTCTTTCTTCTTCCTCTTGACACTGTTTTTCAATCTCATGTTGCCTTAATTCTTCCAGCTCTAGCCTCTTCTGCTCCTCCAGCTCTCGTCTCTGTTTCTCCTCCAGCTCCTTGCGCCTCTGCTCTTCCCATTCCTGATGCTTCTGCCCCTCTAGCTCTTGCCTCTT